ACCTAACCTCACTGATTGCGGCCTGTGGGTCAGAAAGCTGAGGATCCAGTTGTAGATGTTCCCCGAAACATCTGGATAACAAGGATACCTATATCAGGCTCCTACTTATTGACTACAGTTTCACCTTCAGCACCATAATTCCAAACATTTCTGTGCACCCACTCTAGTGCAGTCATATCCTTCCTATAATGCGGTGACCTGAACTACACACAGTACTCTAGTTGTGGTTAACCAAAGTTTTGAACAGCTCGAAAATAACCTCTCTGCTTTTATCATCTATGCTGTGAATGATAAAGGCAAGTGTCACATGTGCCTTCTTTAACTAATCTAGTAACCTGTTTTGCCACCTTCAGGGATGATTGGGTAAGCACCGCAAGATGTGTCTGTTCCTTTGAGCTTCCTAATCTCCTGCTACTCATTGAGCACTTCCTTGTCTTACCACCTCATTCTTCTCAGTTAAATTTTATCTGCCATTGGTCTGTCCATCTAATCAATCTGTCTATATCCTCCTCTCTGTTAACTACCCAGACAATCTTTGTGTCATCGACAAACTTATTTATCATCTCCTCCACATTCTCAGCTATATCATTTCTATATATCACAACTAATATGGGAATGAGCACTGATTCCTGTGGTACACTGGCCTCCAGGCACACAAATGGGTGATGATTCCCTGTAGGGGATGAATCAATGAGTACCAGCTGTTTTCCCTCACCTTGCTGAAATGGTTATTTTTCCTATTTGAGCTCTGAGCCTGTTCTGTGAGAGTTGACATGCTATCTAACTGGCCTAACTGTTGTCAGGGAATGTTTACACACACACACACACACACACACACACACACACAAACATACACACACACCCAGTTCACTGAGGTCACTGGATATAGACAACTTTCTCCCCATACTATCTAATCGAAGCGCAAATACAACAAGACTATGGGGGAAGAGCAGGGTGCTGGTACTAATTGGATAGTTGTAGCAAAACAGTGACAGAAAGGATGGGCCGTGCTTTCTCTTTCTGTGCTAGTTGATTCTATGAACCACTACTTCTCTGAGATTGACCAAGCACTTGAGACCTTCCTTTGGGATTTTATTATATCATTTATAATATGAAGGAGTCCATCGGTGAAGGATAAATCTTAATGACATATTCATTGGAGATTTATTGAAGGATAATGGCCAGTTACTTCAGGAATAATAAGCCCAATATTACAGTTCATCCAAGAAAGCAAGTGTTCCTTACTTCTGCAGTAACATTCTTAACATTATTTCACCAAGGATGTTGAAACTATTTGGTTATGAGCTCCTGAGATCAATACTGTTAAACTGAATGTAAATTTGACCAATCTTTTTCCATCTTCTGCTGTCTCACCCCAGGGGTATTTTACCCATGCCTGGGGTTGCTGATGCCAAATTTCCAGCTGCCCAGCAAAACCTGGTGAGCCTTGGGGCTGGGCTGGAGATGTGGACTTCTGGCTGAGCAGCCTGTGCTGATTGGTGGTGCCCACCTTTCCCACAATGCCCACTCCACCCCATCCTATCGATCCTGGTAACTTAACCCAGTCACTGGAGTCTGCCTGTTTGACCCTCACATGTCCCCAGACTGACCTATATGTCCCAAGACATACCTGTAAGTCCAGGTTCCAAGTTACTTGCCCAACTGGAGATGGCCTGTGGTCCCAACAGTAGCAATCATTCTCATTTGATTGGCTGGCTGTTCCTGAGGGTGGGACTTAGAGGGAGGGTCCTTGTGCTCCAGCAGGAATTTTGCTCTTGTGTAACTAAATTCGTAGCCATTTTATGGCCACAGCGTTTTTAAAATGCCACCAATATTCATGATGGGATGCAGGGACCGTATCCCCAGTAATAGCTCTAAGTTATAGATGTTATTCTCCTCTGGTATTTTATATTTCTGAATGATTGCTCATCCAGACAAAAGAAATTGAAAATTCTATTGATGTTAACTTCTCCTTTAAATTATGTTCATAAATTTGTGCACTTACAGAAATCTTTGTTTTTACATCCTCTACTCATTTATTTCTCTTTTCCTGGCACATATTGCAGAAAAAAACTACATCATTCACTTTAAAGCTTGACGTTTTATGCCACAGTTGTGATTTATTGATGTTTGACATGACAATTCTGAATTTCTAAGGTATATTCATTGCAAGTCAATTAAAAATTACACATTTTCTGTGCTGCACCTTCACTTGATTTCAGGGATTGACCTTTTGGAACATGGCCTGTTACTGTACAACTTGAATGAAGTATTTGGTTATATAAAATAGTGAATGCTAATACAGTTTGTACACATTATGTGGAATGAGGAAGATCTAAAGCTCAAATTATCAGGTAAATCCCAAAGTTAGGCAGACCATCTTCTGGATACGAAGAGGAAAATCAATCGAGTTTACAAAGCCTGAATGCAATGTTAACTAATAACAGATACAGTACCTTCATTTTTATACTAAACGTATATAACAAATTCTATAAAATGATTTTAACAATTGCTGCGTCCAATCTTGCTCTGCTGTACCATTTCAACAACCCAGCACAATCTGATCCAATCTGTCGGAGGAGTCGTAAGCCTTTTTTCTCGTCTCCTTTTGTGTCTCTAGACAATACATAGCCTTGGGGAATATGAGCAGATAGCTGAGGTTAAGCATGCTGGATCATTATTTCATTATTATTTCATTTTTCAGTTTAGCTGCAACCTTGTACTTATTTCCTGAACCTGACCTTTGGCAGTTTTCTTACAGGCAAATCGGCCCACAATGTGATGCATAAAGAAAACATAGGTTGGGATTACAGCAATATTCAGACGAAATTTAGCCTTCAGAGCTCAAAAACGACTGACGATAAAGACTGTGACATTATTGCAGGTGTGGGAGAAAGTCTGGTGAAATGTAACTTCAACATGACTTCTAAGACATTTATTATCATCCATGGGTGGACGGTGAGTTGCACAGTCTGCTAATATTGTCTAATCTCCTCTGAGGTGGAGCACTGACCCCATCTCAGATATCTCTTTCCCCTAATTATGCAAATATTCAGATCCCCTTTAGCAAGTGACACCAAATAATCTTAATCTTTTGGGGACATAATTAAAATTTTTAAAAATGTAGTTATTTTATGCACTAAATAAACTATACTAAACTTTTTATTGACTTACAATGGGTCTTTTCAAAAATCTAGTTTAATTGATTCTAACTCTGATGAACAGTCATTTTAACCAAGGTCCCTAAAATAAGGTGTTTCAATAATTTACACTGTTATTGAAAATAAAAACATGATTTGCTAAGTGGTTGGAAAAGGACAAGTTTTAATAAAATTTAGATGAGTATTTGAGTGACATAATTTTGTTACAAAAGCTTTGAACATATCAAAATTAAAAGATAAAGAAGTCCAATGTTGATGCATGTGTGTTAACACCAGGGTCATTGTTTCCTGATCGGAACTGGGTCAGCCTCCTTTACCCTATACTAAATTTAGCCCAGGGATTTTTGTGGTAAATTGTGCAATCCCAATACCATATCAGCAAATTTAGTGAAGGCATTTTACTCCAGATCAGGATGACTCACAAATGGATAAGGTATGGAATCTTTTACATTGACATGAGGTGGCAGATGGGCTTCAGTTTAATAAGAAAGCGTGTATAACAGTGGAGCACTCATCCCAGTGCCTCATCCCATCCTATTTCTGTGACCTACTGCAGCCCTCCAATCCTTTGAGTTCCATGCATTCCTCTAAACTTAGTTTTCTTTTAGCTTGCCTGATTTTAATTACTCTACCATTTTTGGTCCTATGTCCAGCTGCCTCCAACTCTAGATTTTCCTCCTTAAACTTCTCCAACTCACTCCCTTTCTCTCCTTGTTTAAAATACTCTTTCACACTTAGCTCTTTGAGTAAGATTTTGGTCACCTGTTCCAATATATCCTTACGTAGCTTGCTGTCAAATATTGATTAACCACCCTCCCGCAAAACACCTTGGGGTACTTTATTATTTAAAGCAAGTTACAGCTGTGTATCTAAGAACATCTTGTATAAAAAGGTTGCTGATCCTTAATTCTTGGATTTTTATGATGTAACTTACTCACATTGCACAGAACATTTCGCAATATAAACTGTAAGTTGTTCAGCCATCAATGACCAAATAATATTGTAGTAGATAGTGATGCGCAGATAAAAGTGAGGCTGCTTCTTTCAGACTTTTTGAAGTTTTTTGTCAATTATTAAGGAAGAACTAAAGGCTGTAATTCCCATCTCTCAATAATTGACGAGATGGAAATAACGTGTGTGATATCACCTGAAAGATGTAATGGATACTAGTAACTAAAAGAATGCTCTCTTCCTTGGTTAACTAAGTTAAATTTGAACCAAAATTATTTCCAGTGTAAGACCAAAGGTAATCGTTAGATCAGATAGAAGACAATTATAGTTACACTGTGGCAGGATTGTTAGTTAGTGCCTCTGACAGTTACCTAGTCACTGTGTCTACATTTTGAAGTTAGGTGAGAGAGGGAGACCTTCAGGGAGAATCTCATCTCCTTTGGTGGATACTGTAAATTTGACAGCACCCCAAAGTCTTCTTCCTGCATCATAACTCACACAAAGTTCCATTCACATATCACTCCTGTGCTCGCTGATTAATGTGACGCCTGGTTCAGAAATGCCTCAATATTTAAAAGTTTCATCCTTTGTTTGACATACCCCAGGGCCTTGTTCCCTTCCCTCGTTATAATCTCCTCCAAATCTACAATCTCTCAGATAACATTCTGGGGCCTGGGTTCGAATCCTGCCGTGGCAGATGGTGGAATTTGAATTCAACAAATCTCTGGTGTTAAGAATCTAATGATGACCATGAATCCATGGTTGATTGTCGGAAAAACCCATCTGGTTCACTAATGTCCTTTAGGGAAGGAAACTGCCATCCTTTCCTGGTCTGGCCTACATGTGACTCCAGACCCATAGCAATGTGGTTGACTCTCAACTGTCCAGTGGGCAATTAGGGATGGGCAATAAATGCTGCCTAACCAGCGATGCCCTCATCCTGTGAATGAATAAAAAACAATTCCACTCCTCCCTAATTCTGGTTTCCTGAACATTCCTGACTTTTATTTTCCATCTTTTGTAGCCACAGCTTCAGTCAAGATCTAAACTTTGGAATTCGTTCCTTAAATGTCTCTGCCTTTCTGTCTCCTCCTTTAAGACACTTCTTAAAACGTAACACTTAGACTAAGCTTTTGGCATTTGCCCTGCTACCTCCTTATGTGATTTGATGTCAATTTTTTAATATTACCACTGTGAAGAACATTGGAACTTTTTATCATGTGAATGACATGTTATAATACAAATTGTTGTTGTTATTGTTGGGGTTGAGCAACTTGTTGGCAGGGTGTTGTTTATATGAGTTTATCTTATAGTTAACCTCCAGAGTTGACTTTTTTTTTGCATTTATTTGAAATGCCTACAATCAATAAAGCAAAACAGCTAGGTTTTGAGGAGCATCTTAAAGAAGGAGAGTTGGAGAGGCTTTGAGCATGTACCAGAATTACATTGTTTTAAACCTACTGAGGATTCACAGAAGTTTATCAGTGAAACATGAAGAAGTTACTTTTTTATAATCATCGCCTTTCCTTCTAGACAACTGGACTGATGGAATCTTGGATCAGTGGAATGGTTAAAGCTCTGCAAAAACAAGAAGTATATGCAAACGTCATTGTGGTCAACTGGCTTGAGCGTGCACACCAACTTTATACAATTGCTGTCAACAATTCGGAGGTGGTTGGAAGAGAAATTGCCATGTTAGTTGACTGGCTGGAGGTAAATGTTGCAATGATACAATTCGGCAGTAGTTCTCCACTGTAGTTCTCAATCAAAGTTAACATCATTAACCTTGGTTAGCCTAGCTACAGTTTGCAGATGTCAAATAGATATAAGCTACTGTAATATGTCCTGGGAAGACTACGGTCCAGCAAGGAACATAAAAAAAGTAAGAAACAACCTGCTTATTTTTCTCCATTGTTATTCTGAAACGAAGATTGTCTAACTGGATATTTTAAAAATCTCTACAACTGCAGCAGGTGTCTGATGTGCCGCTTCCTAAGATTCATATGATTGGCTATAGCTTGGGAGCTCATGTTGCAGGATTTGCAGGAAAAGCTACACAAAAGAAAATTGGACGAATAACAGGTATGAACTGACGATGTGGGTTCAATATTTTGACAATATATATTGTGTATAGTATCTGAGATGCATTTGGTAGAATGTTGACTTTAGTGTGGTAGTTCATAGCACTCTCTGCCAGTTTATTCTGTAAGAGGTACCATAAAAGAGAGAGGCTCTTCTTCTGAGGTTGAGATGGGTTGATAATTCTCTCCTCACTTTCATTGCAAGAATTCAATATATGAAGTGGCATTGGCTAAATCTGAATAAGATTATTTAATAAAACATTAATTGTTGAATCTTGGGAAAGGTTCGGAAGACAGTGATAACGCTCCTGCACTTTCATTTCATCACCAAGAGAGAGGTTGATGGTAATTTCTTTCTGTACAGAATTGCTGTGGATGGATTAATTGAGGTTGGGACTTTATGTCAATGTTAAAGTTGCAAATATTTGAAGGAGAAGAAAATACAAGGCAATTGGGAGAGGCTGGGAAAGAGGGATTAAAGCACAAAATTGACTGAGAGGCTGCCTTCTGTGTTGTAAATCTTCATAATTTTAGAGTCCATTTTAAGTGGGAAGGTGATGGCCTAGTGGATTGTCCATCCAGAGACCTAGGTAATGTTCTGGGGACTTTGATTCAAATCCCACCACAATAAAGATCTGTAATTAAAAGTCTAATGATTACCATGAGTCGATTGTCAGAAAAACCCATCAGGTTGACTAATGTCCTTTAGTGAAGGAAACTGCCATCTTTACCTGGTCTGGCCTATATGTGACTCCACAGCAATTTGGTTGACTCTTAGTTGTCCTCTGGAATGGGCAACAAATGCTGGCCTAGCCAGTGACACAATGATTAATAAAAAAACGAAGGCATGAACTTGACATTCCATTCATCTTCAATTGCATAAGCAAGTGGAAAAGTTAGCCTGGGGCTCAGTATTCCAACCATGGCTGAGTGTGTTTCTTCCTTCATACTTGTTAATAATTCCAGCTGCACCCTGCTTTGCCACCTTCCCTGCCCCAACCCAAATGCCACTGACCTGCCTGTAAACAGGGTTCTATCTGGCCGCTTTCATGGGCCTGTTTACACTCCTGGCAACACCCACCAAGAAGCTCTGTCGCAGCCAGGACTTTCAGAACTGCCAGCCAACAGGAGACACAGAAAATCTGAGATAACAAGGTATAGAGCTGGATGAACACAGCAGGCCCAGCGGCATCAGAGGAGCAGGAAGGCTGATGTTTTGGGCCTAGACCCTTCTTCAGAAATGGGGGAGGGGAAGGGGGTTCTGAAATAAATAGGGAGAGAGGGGGAGGCAGATAGAAGATGGATAGAGGAGAAGATAGGTGGAGAGGAGACAGACAGGTCAAAGAGGCGGGGTTGGAGCCAGTAAAGGTGAGTGTAGGTGGGGAGTTAGGGAGGGGATAGGTCAGTCCAGGGAGGACGGACAGGTCAAGGGGG